AGAGAGTGTGTGTGAGAGAGTGTGAGTGTGAGAGTGTGTGAGTGTGTGAGTGCGAGTGTGTGTGTGCGAGTCTGTGAGTGAGAGTGTGTGTGAGAGAGTGTGTGTGAGAGAGAGAGAGAGAGAGAGAGAGAGAGAGAGAGAGAGAGAGAGAGAGAGAGAGAGAGAGAGAGAGAGAGAGAGAGAGAGAGAGAGAGAGAGAGAGAGAGAGAGAGAGAGAGAGAGAGAGAGAGAGAGAGAGAGAGAGAGAGAGAGAGAGAGAGAGAGAGAGAGAGAGAGAGAGAGAGAGAGAGAGAGAGAGAGAGAGAGAGAGAGAGAGAGAGAGAGAGAGAGAGAGAGAGAGAGAGAGAGAGAGAGAGAGAGAGAGAGAGAGAGAGAGAGAGAGAGAGAGAGAGAGAGAGAGAGAGAGAGAGAGAGAGAGAGAGAGAGAGAGAGAGAGAGAGAGAGTGTGTGTGTGTGTGTCACTCCACTCACACCTGATGTTGCTCATCATCACTGAGGTGAAGCAGAGTTTCTCCTCTTCGGTGCTTTCAGTGGGGCTCCAGAGTGCTTGTTTTCTGTCCGTCTCCATTGTCCAGTGAGTTTTTTACAACAATTTTAAAGATTTTTATGAATTAATAATTTTATGAATGAATTCATTTTAAAGATACTTTTTACCTTGACAAATGTTGTTTTTGTTTTTTTACATTTTTGAAAATAACGATAATGTTTGTACACTCACATGCATTCAAAATATTCAAAAAATATGAACCTTTTCAATGGTTGCACCACATGACATTTTATTTTTGACATTGAAAATACAAATTAAAAAATACATTTTTAAATCCATAATTTATATTAAAAATGTCCTGCTGTTTCTCCTAAAACTACAAACACGGGTAACATAGAAACGCCTCTGTCCAAGTATGCAAATGCGCTCCTAAATGCAAAAGCAGCCCCCGCTCTCCAAGACGCGCTTCACTGCGCACACATATCATGCTGCTGGCAAACTATATGCAAAGACTTCAAGAGGTCTGTCTGCAGTTTCTGCAGTTTCTGTTCACCTGCGGGACTTTGGACGACTTCCAATCACAGTGTAATCGCGTAACGCCTGTCGAACTGTTGGAAATATTTTTCCTATACCACAATAAACGTTAATCATCGACAGCGCTGTGGAATTTGTACACCTTAGATAGAGTATGGTGATAAAACATCAGGTAAAAACAAAAGCATAACATTTTAGCGCATCTTTCACAATATTTTCTAATCAGGTGATGATATTATATCTACAGCTGATATTTTATCTGTGAGCTTCACGCAACGTGAATGTGATTGATGTCTGTATCTGAGGAATGTCTTGAATGTTTTTGTCACTGCTTGCACAAACATTCACTAATCACTAATCCAGTACAGCAGGAATCTCACTCTAGACCACTTTACCAAGAGCAGACGTTTATATATGCAACAATACAGCACTAGAATGTGTTTTAAGTAGTTTTATGTATCTTGGTCGCGTTGCATGTTAAAAGTGAGAATCTGATCCTGTAATTCTCAGTTCTGCCTTTAGTGGCCGCTGTTGAAAACGCAGGCTGTTAAAATAAATGATACCGAAGACAAGACTGAGCTGAAATGACAAATACTCAAGTTTTGTCCCCTCTACTGCGCAAAGGTCTTCACTGATCAAGTCTGAAAGTTATGTTTGATGTGAACATTCATTAAAGAAACCTTTATGGTTATATTTTTAATTATAGTTTTACTGGTCGATACACTGATAAATCAGCTAGGGATGTTAAATTATTAGCTTTACATCCCCTTGTATTGCTTTATTTATTTATTTAGTCAGATATTACAGGAAATGTCGAGTACAGTAAGTGTTTTTTTAATTTCAGTAAATTAAAAAAAAATTACTACATTCACTACAATTACTACATCACTACATTTCGGAAAACATTTAGTTGCATTATCAGGAAATAGGGTTGCAAAAAGGTGGAAAATTTCCAGCAAATTTCGGAAACATTCTAGGATTTTTGGGAATATTCCAGGGATTTTTGGAAAGTTTCCGGAAACTTACCGGAAATTTTCCACCCCTTTGCAACCCTATAAGGAAATAAAAAATAATAAGAAAATTGGATGACTATCATGGCATTAAGTCACATTTCACTCTTGTTTTGAATGGGGAAAATATATATATGTTGCATAAATTAAATAAGAGCAATTTAATGACATTTTGTAACATTCTCATGCCAAATAATAATACAGTAATTAAATATTTTTTAATTTAAAACAGCATAAAGGTAGTACCATAAATACTATCTTTATGTATAAGTACTTTACAATTTTTTTAACTCTCTTAATTTATATATTTTTATTCTTAAAAATGTACTTTTTATAGAGTTTTACTTTACAGTATATAATTGTTACGAATGTAATCTTCTCAAATTACTCATTACCATGTGTTCAGATTTTTTATTTTTGAATATTAAATATTGATACATGACAACAATTGTATAAAAATAAAAAAAGCTTTATCAAAAATATAAATTTTATCCGATTTTTTTTTCGTTACAGTAATGAAAAATATTAATGTCACATTAAAAAATGTCTTATTTCTTTAGATTTCGAGGGGAGCTCTGATCCAGACATGTTCTTGTGAAGCTAAACCAGTGTGTACATGTTGAATACACAATACATGTGTCACACAAGACTTGTGTGTGGGGGTTGGAGGAGTGCATGCATGACGCCTGTGTTTATCTGAACACAATGCTTCTGTCTCTGTCCTCGTCCTTCTTCAGGTCCTCCATGCACAGAAGGCTGGCTACAAGGCAGCGATTGTCCACAATGTGGACTCTGATGACTTAATCAGCATGGGATCCAATGATCGTAAGTTCCTGCGCACGAATGCATAAAATTCTGCAGCGGGACAATGCTGTGATTCACAAACCCCGGCCCCTGTGCTGCTAATAACCGACGCTGTATTTATGAAGTCTGAGCCGTGATGCCGTTTGACTTGGAATGTTGGGATGAAGGCCAAAGTAGAGGAACCAACCTTCAGCGTTCTTAAGTTGAGCATTATTGTCATTCTGCTACAGGTGTGGACATATAGTGGAACGAAATGTCGTGTCTCGGTGCTACATACTAATTAAACATAAATATAAACATACAACAATAGAAGTATAAGAAAAACAATTAGAGACCTATACAACAGTTAACCATCTGACTATACATATACTATAAATACTCTAAATATTTTACTATACATACACAAACTGAGACTGTACAAAAACTTTACGTAAATACTGTACATGAAATAGTGCAAAAGAGATATTTTGAATATATATTTCGAAAGGAATAGGTTACTCAAAAATGAAAGTTTTCTGAAAATGTCCTCACCTTCAGGTCATCCAAGATGTAGATGAGTTTGTTTCTTCATAGATTTGAAGAAATGTAGCATTATATCACTTGCTCACCAATGGATCCTCTGCAGTGAATGGGTGCCGTCAGAATGAGAGTCCAAACATCATAATAAAAACATCATAATAATCCACAACATATGTCTATATTTCAATCAGCTCTCATATAGATTTAACAGCATTTGACAATAATGGAGTGTAGGATTGATGTTGAGCAGATATAGACAGGTGGTGCTGGGGAGGAGGAGGGTTAAATAAAACTTTCAGTTTTCATTCATTTGTTTTATTTATTTCAAGTGAACTATTCCTTTAAAGTGGACATAAATTCAAAATAAATGTTATTTTACATTTGAAAATACGCTCGATTATTTAACATTCATTTGTTTGAGGAATCAAAGTGAATCAGAATCAAATCTGGTCGCATTTAGTGTCTTAATGTACGCTTGTATTTGAATTTTTTTTGCAGTGGATATTCTGAAGCAGATAGACATTCCCTCAGTGTTTATTGGTGAAGAAGCGGCCAACTCTCTCAAAGAGGATTACATCTATGAGAAAGGGTGAGGGCTCTGATTTCACTACTGAATACTTCACTGTTCAGATGGATACTTAACAGAAACATCTGATGAATTCAGCTGCGCTGGCGCTCCAAGAGTCATATGACACTATAGAAAGTCTGCTGTTCACACAAAGTCTGAAAATGTATTCACAAACGGTTTTTCCACACCAAAATTACTGAATTAAATTAAAAGGTTCATATATTTAATTATATATATGTATTTAATACAAATAATACATTACATACATACATAATATGTGACCCTGGAGCACAAAACCAGTCTTAAGTCACTTGGGTATATTTTTAGCAATAGCCAATTGTAAGGGTCAAAATTATTGATTTTTCTTTTATGCCGAAAATCATTAGGATATTAAGTAAAGATCATGTTCCATGAAGATATTTTGTAAATTTCCTACCGTAAATATATAAAAAATTCATTTTTGATTAGTAATATGCATTGCTAAGAACTTCATTTGGACAACTTTAAAGGAGATTTTCTCAATATTTAGATTTTTTTGCTGCCTCAGATTCCAGATTTTCAAATAGTTGTATCTCAGCCAAATATTGTCCGATCCTAACAAACCATACATCAATGGAAAGCTTATTTATTCAGCTTTCAGGTGATTTATAAATCTCAATTTCAAAAAATTGACCCTTATGACTGGTTTTGTGGTCCAGGGTCACATATGAGTTCTAAGTATTATTGTCTGTTTATAAGACCTGTCGTATAAAAGCAGCATCACACTCACAGTCTTGCTTTGTGTTTTCAGTGGTCATGTAATTCTCATGCCGGACTTCAGTTTGCCTCTGGAATATTATCTGATCCCATTCCTCATCATTGTTGGAATCTGCCTCATCCTCATTGTAGTTTTCATGGTGAGTCATGATTGTGTGTAATTAAAAAAAATATGAGCAAACAACCAAATATATTAGCCTTGACTGAGATGTTTACATCTTTTTAATCTCAGATCACAAAGTTTGTACAGGACAGACATAGAGCCAGGAGAAGTCGCTTACGCAAGGACCAGCTGAAGAAACTCCCAATTCACAAGTATAAGAAAGGTAAGACGCGTCTTAAGATCTAACACTGAGAATACATTGTGGATCAGCATGCAAATACATAAAATACATCATACGAAAAGAACTCTTTAATTTTGTCATAAGTGACAGAGAAGACAATGTTACTGCAAAAAAAAAACATTTCAAATAAATGCTGTTCTTCTGAACATTGTATTCATCAAAATATAAGTTTTCACAAAAATATGAAGCAGCACAACTGTTTTCAACACTGATAATAATCAGAAATGTTTCTTCAGCAGCAAATCAGCATATTAGAATGATTTCTGAAGATCATGTGACACTGAAGAGTGGAGTAATGATGCTGAAAATTCAGCTTTGATCACAGAAATAAATTACATTTTTACAATATATTTGCATATAAACATTATTTTAAATTTATAATAATATTTCATAATATTACTGATTTTCCTGTATTTTTGATCAATTAAATGCAGCCTTGATGAGCAAAAGAGAAATCAACCCCAAACTTTTACCAGTAGTGTACAATTATCGCAAAGGTTTTTATTCGTTATTTGTTTGACCATTAAATTGTGTAAAGACTCACCAGAATGAGAGATTCTAATAGTTCTAGAATCTGATTCAAACATCAATTAAAAAGATCTAACATGTTTGATTCATGCCATCAAATCAGTTCTTTTAAACTGTCCATTTTAAATTCATTTAGCTAGGATAAATTTATAGTTCCTCTGGAAACGCCATTTCAAAGCAAATACGTAAATATAAATTATTTGTAAAAATGGGTCATTTTAAAAACAAATCAACTTTGTAAAAAAAAATGTAAAAAGTTAACGTCAGTTGTAAAATGTTAATGTTTACTGAACTTAAATGTCAAAGACCCCAATTAAATTCACTTAAAACGGCCGTCTGATTTGCGTTTGAGGGAAAATCCAGTGTTTTTGTAGGCTCTTCCACTTATTACTTATTTCCTGTATGTGCCAGAAATATTGCAGCACTGCTTTTGTAAGCAGAACACTGTATACTTTGGATATACACTCTATACTTAGTAAGAATGGGCCTTTTAGCCTCTTTATTTTGATGTTGTGAAGCTGTCGTGTTGCTGGTTCATCAGTATTTGGTATTATCCGTGCCGCACAACAGAAAGTGGGAGAAATATGGAATTCCCCTCCCGCGCCGGAGCTCTCGGCGTTTCCACCTCCTCATGGTGAATCATCAAGCCATTTTACAACCAAATCAACACCGTGACCATTGACCATTCACTGCATGAATGAGCATCCTGTTCAGCTCGCTCATAGTGCATTAGAAATGTGTTCGCCTGTAAACGTGAAAGCAGACGCTGGAGACATTCCTCCTGAAGAAGGTGTCAGACGTCACTTTCACTGAGTAAAAGGAGAGAGTGCGGTCTGGACTTAGGTTACACACACACCTGTGTTCATGTATCCACATTCAAACATTAAACAGACGAAAGGTGTGCGAGATTTCCTAAAGCCAGCGGGCCGGCGGTAGCAGAGTCGCCTCTTACACTTCAGATATTCAGAGCTAATGAGAGTCATATCAGCGTGAAGGTCATTCGTAATCGTTTCCGTTGTACGTATTTACCAGATGTCATGTGGATCATTTATCTGCAACAAGTGAATTTGACACTGAAACAAGTGGCAGGACGCACGCATACTTAAAATTGGTTCAGAAATAAGATTTTCTTTATGCAAAACATATGGACATGAACAAGGCAGCTTGTCTATTTGAATGATGTTTAAATGACTACAGTGGAGAATAGGACGGTCACGAAATCAGATTTTCACTACAAAATGATCCTGGATAAGAGATAGAATTCACGATAACTATTAGGGATGCACCGATACCACTTTTTTCAGAAAGAATATCGATACCGATACTTTCATTTTTGGTACTCGCCGATACCGATACCTGTATTTTCACAGCATTTGTAATGTTTTTTAAATATTGGATACAGAAACAAAATAATAATAAAAAATTATAATATGAATCATGTTAGTTGGCTTCATTTAGCAAACAGATATTTCCTTCATTTATTTCCACACTTAATTATATTATAAAATGTTTTGTTACTTTCACTGTTCATTTTAATGGCGCATTAGAGCTGCTCCATTGCAGCAGCTGAATACTGTAATCACAAGACGTTTTCCTAAAATAATGCAGGGAACCACTCGTTATACATTATACGAGTACGCGCGTACTATTTTGGTAAATATAAATTAAATATAAATAAATGCAGAATGAGAGACACTTACAGCCTAGCGCATTTCACACAGTCTGCTAGTTTCACTTCTGCTTTAAATAAAGTTGTGTATGCTTGACGTTTAAAATAAATGTTTATAGTGAATGCCCCTATAATTTTTGTTTTATATTTACGATAAAAAATTTTAATCTTAATTTAGTTTTAATCCAAATGCATGCGCTAATGGAGCGAACAGCAATCAAGATCATGCAACAGAAGTGCTCGCTCTCTCGCTCTCCTTACCGTCAAATAACTTTAGTAACTTGTGCATTGTTGTACTTGCTTGCTTTTGACATATCCGACTGAACTAGTGATGTCTGTGAGAAAGGGATATTCACTCGAGAAGCTCGTGCATCTGCACCGCCGCGCGCTCAATCCACTCAGCGTGCTTTGTTTATCAGCTCTCACACATCAGCTATACGGGCGTTAATACTGAATGTTTAACGTTATATTCATTGCATACATATACTTCGTAGTAGACATCCTTAACTCCATTCTGCTGTCTGTTGTTGGTGTT